TGGTGCTCTTGAGATAATTGTCGTAGTAATTTAGGAAGGAATATAAATTACAGATAAACCAGCTTTTCACTAAGTGGTTTAAGATGCCAAGGGTGGGTAAGAAAAGCTAGCAAATGTGAAACCTTTAAGCTAATATAGTTAAGAAAACAGACTTGATTCAGTTGTGTAAACACAGGCATCTAGCCCTACTGAGATGCTCTAGGATACCCTGTGGCATCCATTTGTCACTGCAGCAGGGAATGGGCAGTATGTCCACCTACCTGGGTCAGATTTACCAGCCCCAGGGGAAGTCTTGGATAGTCCAAGGGCGCTACCTACTAGAAACTGTTTATGCAACTGGGTCAAGAGAGAATGTAGATGTACTCAATGCTGACCATTTGCAACATACTTCAAGATGTCTCATTCCATGTCACTGTTTCTATAAGGATATGCCTGGAATCCATAATAAGATGCTATCATGCTCTTACTAATTTACATTCCTGTCTAAATAACCAATTGTACAATCGGGCTGCAGTGGCTTATCTCTTATTGCTGGTGTGACAAGAATTCATAGTTCTTGGAATCTGTGCACCTATGATGTATAATATCTAAAAGTGTTTGGCTACATAATTTGCTTCCCTAATATGTAATTTGCTCCTCTTGTGTTTTTGTCTATCTTTATACATTGTTGCACCTGTTGGGTTTTTTTATGTAAAAAAAAAAACAAAAAAAAATCCTTTGTGTATTCTAGCCAGACCCTGAACTGGAACTTCTATTTTAAATTTTAATTTTTAAAAGGTTTTTTTTATTTTTCTAAAACTTTTTAGTCTGAAATTTAAGATTTGGAATCAAAGCATCTCAAAGCTGTGCAGTTACTCAGTGCTACTGACAAACTAGTAATGGGTAATTCTACCAAGAGAGGCTACCACTTCTGTGAAGCTTCACTGTAGGAGGCTATAGGCAACCTGTGTTAGGATGCAGTCTTTGCCCAGAAAAGGCTATTTTCTGTAGCCGCGTAGTATAACTAATTGGCACGTGCAGCAAAATGTTCTTTTTGGAAGGCTTCTTCCAATGTGCTCTTTCCTCTGTGTTTAGTGAACATTAAACCAAACATTAGTTTCTTCAGGGACCTGTGATTGCAACAGTACTGTGTATTTGGCAATACTTAGAATTGCTGCAGTCATTTCCCTTTCCTCTGAGGTTATAGGTTCCTAAACATCCTCATCTGCCCTGTAATTGGTGATAAACATCTCTGTTCATATTGTTTAAATCAGTTGTCTACAGTACCAAGTTCTGGGTATTCACTGCTGTGCTTAGAGTGAGACTACATATAGCTTATTTCTTGGGATTTAAAAGCAGAAACATCTAGAGTTAATATGGGAGCATGAAATAATTTAGAGAACTTGAGAGAAAAGCCTCCTAACAATGTATTCTTTGAAGGCTTTTGGTTGTACAATGAAGAGACATTATATATTCTCAGTTACCACCAATCTGTACAGAAAAGATTAGGCTATGCTATTCTTACAGTTTTGGTTTGACTCTAATTATAAGCAGATTTCAGTTTGTTTTTTAGATGTGATATGCAATCTGTATTAGTTATTCTACACCTATCATCGCCTAGACACCAAGAGTGGATGTAAAACTCATGAGAACAGCAATATAACAATAGAGTATGAATTTCATCACTTTTATCAAGGCCCATACAGCTCATATTTACAAAGTAAAAATGATCTAATTGTCAGCTCTTTTAAAAAATTATTATTATTTTTAAAAAACCAACCACCAAATAAAACAGAAACCCCCTAGACCATCTGTCCAGTGTGGGTGGTTTTCTCTTTAGGGAGACTCAATAGGCCAACAGTTTCCAAGACTGGATACAGTTAATTGCTATAGTGGTTTTATTAATCTACATTTCTAACTTGCCAAATTTAATGTGTTTGGAGAATTTCCATTGTTTTGGGGGTTTAATTTTTTTTTATTTGTGTTAAGTATACGAGGGAAGAATGAGAGAGAATTCTGCCAATTTAGCTATTTTAAAGTTTCTTATCTATCTTAACAGGAGCTTTGAATGATTAATGTGAGCAAATGCCTTTTAGTGTTGTCTGCCAGTGGAAAGTATACCTGAGCTTGTTCAAGTGCTGTTAATGAAAATGTTAAAAGCAGTGACTTGTTATTGCTGCTGACATTAGTTACTGTTTTATGAATCATGTGATCTGATGAAATACAGTGTTATTGTCATGTGTCTGGCAACACGAAGGAAAAATAAATTTTAGGAAAAGGACCCCCTTTTCTTTCAACTTAATGAAAACAATCAAAAAAACCCCAACCAATCTTTTAGGAAGTTGTCTAGAAGGAAGTACAATTTAATAAGCTCCCTAGCCATAAGAGTTGCTAGACTCATGACCTGTTAGCAAAATAAACACTAAACATTTCATGCCATAAAAAAGTGTGAGTTTCTCTGATTTCTCTGAGCATTCTCTATGGAAGATTTATTTTTTTTTTCCTTTCTCTCCTTCTGGATAATCCCCTTTCTGTAGGGAGAAAGTTTCTATCAAAATGTATGTGACCAGTCTCTTTGTGTAACCACTTCAGATGCCTGCATGCTAAGCCTGTTTGGTTATGAAGAATTATTATCCTTGGTCATTACAAGCCTCTCCAACTCAGAGACCAATGTCTAGGTCTTCTGAATTACTAATTCTAACAGGAAGAGGAAGGCTTTTCATAGTGTAGTCCTTTGCTTGGGTTTTTTTTTCCCCCTGCCCAGGTTGGCTTTTCTCACAGATCCACTTCACTGCAGAAACTGCTTTTTAATAATTCCTACAGTTTTTCTTTGCTGTGAGGCTGTGGCATCTGCAAGATCAAGCCAAAGTCTAATGCACTGTACGTACATCAGAAGTTAACAGCAGCTAAAGCTATACTATCCCTATCAGGATTTCCTATGAAGTCCATGCTTGCTGAGAGTGGGTTTGTGAACTGAATATTCACACATTCATATGATAATCCTTTTACATGATATCAGTGCAAAAGGAGAGGATTATCTCCTATACTAACAATCTCTTTTCTTACAACACTGAAGTTATCAGTTATCTTAAAACTTTCTGTACTAGTGTAGATTATGCTCAGACTTGCTTTGTATTCTGCTTTAGACATGTACATAAATTCTAGCTTGAGAATTTCATAAAAATCATGGATAAAAAGAATTTGTGGAGCCTTAGATAACTGATAAATTACAATATGACCATTTATAATATATTGTAACGTGCTGGCATTAGAACACATACACAGTTACAATTTACCAATATAACTTCATACAAAGTTAGACATCATATTATGCATTTCATAGTTGTTGATAAACATACTTATCTGTCATCAGTAAGTCACTGTCCCTCTTCCCAAATGTAACCTCTATTGTGCACCACAATAATACCACTACTCAGAGGCCCTAAACAATGATTAATTATTTTAGGAGTGATTGATACCTTACCTTGAAATATATTCATGTATACCTTCTTACACTGGCCAGAGGAACATCTTAAAAGAACAACTCTAGTTTCTCCTCACTACAAGACAGATGCCACAGAAGTGAAACTAAATTGTCTGTTCACTGTCTGCACTGACCTGTGTTTTCATGCTTGCCTCATAAGGAAAAGGCTTAGACATTCACACTGAGAAAATAGGGGAGGTTCTCAGTGAGAACAAAAATTTACCGTGGTTAAGGGAGTGGCGCGATGGACTGTTGTGAGCCTCCCATAGAAAGACTAGGCTTTCCTGACAGGTGAGACAATGATTACATCGTCACAAAAATTGACTTTTTAAACTAGGCAGCCAAGTTACAGCTTGAGGTAAAAAACAAAATCAGGAACCGGCAACATGAAGTAACAATGAAGTAATTGTGTCAAATAAATGTATCCAAATGAATGAATACTTCATTTCTCCTGTGAAATCATTCTAGAGGAACAGTGATACTATCAGAGTTCATGGGGCTGCTGTTAGAATGACTTGTTCTTTGTATTCCTCGGAATAATGCAGCTTGAGAGGATGCTAGAGAGTTCCCTGATTTCCTGTGGCTTTTTGTGTCTCTGTTGAGGTCCATTAAAAGAATTAAGAGATTCCAGTTTTAATGAGATTTGGAAAATCAGACTGGTTTTTGAATGTAAACCTAGAGTACCTCGGTACTTGATCAATGAATCAGCAAGTTGTCTTGTACAGTTTATATATGAGAGAGAAAGACACCTATTTGTGTTAAATTATGAGGTTCAAATGTCAGGTCCACTTGTATCTATTTGTGCCTGAAGGGAAAGCAATATATTTTTGTGTCCATACCCAGAAAAATAAATAAAATATTAATGAGTTTTGTCATTGGAGATAAATTCAGGAATCATTGGTAGTATTATAGTATACTGTAGACCAAGTACCTTCTTAGCATATGTTGTACATCATAATTCAGCATAAAATCGACTCCACACCATATGAATACCACACTTCATATCTTAAGCAAACAGCTGTACTTTGAAACTTATCTTCTTTTACTTTGAAAGATTATAAGAATAAAACAACAAAAAAAAGTAAATGTAGCAGTGCAGATTTTTTTTTTCTTCTGTGTTATGTATAGCCAAATAAATAATTATTTCCTAGTAGCAAAACCATTTTTTTAATTTTAGATCTCTCAAAACAAGAATACTGGAAATATGCTAATCGAGTTTTAAAATATCAATAAGAGACTAGAACCTTAAGCTATCTTTTTTGGCTGAAATTTTTATATATAGCTTTTGCTAGGTTTTAGGGTTTTATTGAGGGGAGAGGAAAATGAAACCAAAACTCTTCTGTGAAAAAAGAAAAGGAAGGGGGAAGATAGTGCCTTATCAATTCTAACATCAACAGAACAGTTGAGCAGATTACTAATAATATGTCTACTGCCTAATTTCTCCTACTTTAAATCTTACACACTTGGCATGCCAGAAGAAACTATTCTAAATTTTCAGTATTTCTCTTTAATTTACCCTTGAATTATTGCCATCAGTTTAAAGGCTGGGTTCGAGTTTTTGAGAGAACTTTGATTGAAGAAATCGTGGATAAGAATCTCTTTCCATGTGCATGTAAATTATGCTCTGTGCTTCATCAAAACAGGACTGTGGCTCTTGAATAGTCCTTATAATTGCTTTCCTCACAGGACTGTCAATGTTAACCTGAAACAGAAAGCAACATTACTGAAGTATCACTGAATAAATGCAAAGGAATGGTAAGGAAGATTGAATTTAGGACACCTGTACTGAATGCCTGTTCTTTATATCTTTAATTCTATCGTTATATATGGGCCCACGACTTCAAACCTTAGGGACGTTAAGTGGTATATGTATGATTTGCTTGCTAATTCTAGAAAGAATAAGAACATATGTATGGTTTAGGCAGTGGAAGAAGTCCTGCAGACACGGCTTGTATGGAGTGGCTGTGGTGGAAGGAATAGCTGAAAGGTGCTGACGTCCAAGTCCATTTTCTTTTGCTAAGAATTGTTCCTAGAGTTATGATTAGATCCCCGAGGAGGAAGCCTGGCTTTTGATTTCAAATGCATCCAAGTGACTGGAGGTGCACAGTACCTGTGAAAACCAATGCTAAAATTATGATCGCTGAGATAAGCTAAAACTGAGCCCATATATCAACCTCTCAATCTTCTGCTGCAATCCAGGGTTTGTAGCAGATAAATTGAAGCTCCGTGAGTGTGTAAGAACAGAAAGGTGATAGGAAAGTATATAAGATAAAATGGGAACTTTGATAATCCATTAGCTCATGATGAATTACATTGGTTTTTTGGTGGGTTTTTGGTTTTTTTTTTATTTTGACTTTGTTAATGTTGAGAGGAGTGTTGATGTCTTTCATTGGTTGGGATCCAGGAGCACCTTTTTAAATGGTGTTGAAATCTGAATATAAACTGTTTAAAATCTTTATGAGCATCTATCTTTGTAGAGTTCTTTGGTTAATAGTGAATATCAGGAGAACATGAAATCATTGTGTGCTGAAGATCTAGAAACTAGACAGCCAATAACAAGATTCAAATACATAGTATTTTAGAAAAAAAATTACACAGTTTATTTTTAACTGTCCGGATTTAAGCTCTTACTTTGATTAATGAATTTGTGGTTGGCAATACTGACTCTTCTCTTTTGGAAATGCAAATGTCTTGCTGAGTTTCCTACAGCTGCACATGCTAAAAGTAAAATAAATCAGAAAAAGACAGAAAAATGCATTGTCTTGCCAATTGACATTTAAAACCAACAGAGGAAACTTTCAAATTTCCTCAAATTTTGGATTAGTGGGAGTGGTTTAGTCATTTAAAGCAGCAACTGCTCTCAGCCAACATTTGGGAATCCAGCTGAATTGGTTTTATTGTTATGTGTAAACCAGAAAACAATCTAGCCTGATTTTTCTGTTATGTCAGTCTGCCAGAGACAGTGGCAGTAAAAGCCAGTATTAGCTTACTTTTGCAAGGAGAATAATAAACAGGAATAGTTAAAGGTCATAAAGCATGCCTGGCCAAGCAGGAATGACTTTTTTGTATAGCCACTTTTCAGGGAAAAAAAAAAAAAAAAAAAAAAAAAAAAAAAAAAAGGCAAATCACTCACAAACACTTTACACACAGATCTGCATTGTTTTCCCTAAATCTTATGCTGCTGGAAGTAGAAAATAATTACTCTGTCTTTGAACTGTTATAATCAGACAAAGGCAATTTTTATAAAAATATATATATTTATTTGGGTTCAATTGATCTAGGGTGGGAAGCAATAGGCAAAGCGGCGCTGGGTGCATGGAGAGCCTCAATTCTGCCACACGCACCCCGAGTTCCAAAAAGCAGCGGTTTTATACTCTTGTGCCATCGTCTTTAACCAATCTCCTCCCGTCAGACAGTTGTCCTGCTCTTTTCCATTGGGTCATTTGGGTTGCTGGGGTGCATGTCCCCCCCCATCAGGTCTTTTGAAAGTCTCGAAGCCTTGGTCTCTTGGCGCGCGTTTCTCCTATTGGATCTTTTAAAAGCCTCATGATCTCATCCTTTTGGCGGGCTTTTCTTCAAACAGCAGTTACATGTCAGCTCTGGGTGGGGTTTCTGAGACAGGTTACATTTTCCAATCTGAATGGCCCACTTTACATTTAATTAACATTTACAGATCATTCAAGTGTACCTACCCTCCTTGCCTAACCTAGCAAATTAGTTACAATAGTTTATTACAGCACCCACCTTGCTTAACTTAGCAAATTAGTTACAATAGTTTATTACATAACTTTCTTTTAGCCCTTATTTAAAAGGCAGCAGCAGTGGGTAGTTTTTACTTTGTTCATTTATATTTACTCTTGCAAAGACCAGAGTAATATTTATATCCATGTAGCAATGGCCTAATCTGAAATCTATTGAAGTGGTATCAATGGCCCCTGGATCAGATACTAAAAAGAATAGTATGGATCCAAATACTTGGTTCTTAATCTAATTGTGCCTTTTGCTTGTATCCTTGGCAGATTTAGTTGAAAGATTTGCCCATAGACAAGATTTGAAGGCAAGTATTAAAATTCTGTGTGCAAGAGAGTTTGGGGAGGATGAATAGCAACAGTTTTCACTCCCTTTAATATAACATTTGTTGATGCTTTTTGTAAGCTACATTACACATCAGGCACTGCTATGAGAGTAAATAACAAGTTCATGTTATTGTATGTCGCCTCATTGGGAGCTTGGGGTTGAATGTAACTTGTAAAAAGTTTCCTGGCCACAGAAATCCTCTTCCTCTGTGATGTGATCTTCTTATAGGCTTCACAAGCAAGGCAAAATTCTGTGTTTTCATCACTGTGCTCTATCTTCAAGTAGGTCTTGTAGATCATAGGCCATCTGTAAAAATTTCAGAAGCCCTATTTATATACCATGTAATATGCATTACTTTTAGAGTCCTTTGAAGGCAATAGAGACGTTTACAAGGCAGTATAATTCTTGATTGTACACCTGTAATATTATTACATTTTGTCAAAGTAGGGAATTAAACACACTAACTCACCCCAGAGCCCTACACTTCCAACACTGCATTTTCCTGAACATGCAGAGCTCCCTTTAACCTAAGTGGCGTTTCACTACGCAGAGACAGAGCACTGAAAACTTCATTCTTCCTGGTCTCTGTGAACATTATCAAACATGTCCAAAGACTGACAAGTATTTTTAAATTCCAGATTTAGTTTTGTGCAGAAGACATATAAGTATTTTTTTACTCAGTCATGAGTAAAAAAGATAATGATAATAAGACCTTGTTATAAACTGACTTCTTAAATTTGCCTGAGTCAGAGTTTTATTTAGCAAGCGGCAACAAGCAAAACGGCGCTGGGTGGCTGGGGAGTCTCCTGCTCCAACAACGGCCCGCACCTCTCAAGGAATTTTGTCTTAATTTTATACTACAAAGCATTGCATATTCATTAAACGCCTATACATATACATTACCTAATCCTGCCTACTCCCGCTTCGTATGGTAATTAGCTTATCAGTCTTTTACGCTTGCGCAGGAGCGGTCAAAAATACGGGTAAGGGTCTCTAAATTATGGGCGGTGGTCGTCTGGGATGAAGGCCCTAAGTCCTCCTCACAGTGTACTTTTCACCCTTGGCCTGGAATGTGCTGATCCACTAAATCTGCAGTGTCCTTATCAGCCTAGGCCCAGCAGTCTCCTTGAATAAGGAGATTTATGGTCCTGAATACTCCCTTGTTGGCTTAATTGGGCATCTGCAACTCTTCACACCTCTTTGTGCAGATGCTTCTTCTCTTGTTGTTCACCCCCCTTTTCTTCCTGTCACCATATACACTTATAATGTTTAATTCAATTAAACATTTGCTGTTAGTATTACACAACATACAATAGTTCGTATGACCGTTTGCTTTTCTATTGTCTTCCTACTGGATTTGATGAACAGACGGTTTGCTACCTATTACAGACCTTCTTTTCTTGGTGTAAGAATTTTGGGGAAAAGCAATCAGCAAAGACAGAAAATATTCTTTTCCTTGCCACTGTAATTGAGTGAAGTAAAGCATTTACTTCAGCAAATAAGGTGTTCTGCACGTGAGGATGTCTTTGCAACACCTGGCAGTGGAGTTCAACAGCAGCAATCAGTGGGATTTTGGCAAAGATTAAATTCCTGAGGCTGCCTTTTGTCATGTCATTAGAAATGCTTTGTACAGGAGTAGGTGATCGAGTTGCTGAAATGCCTCTAGCCAGGAGAACGTTTATGAGGCTTCACTGGGTGTAGCACTTGAGCAGGAATGGTGCTTGCAGTTGGAAGATGTATTTTCGAGTAAAACCTAAGATAGGGAAATACTCTGCCTACCTTTCATAAAGAGCTGCAAATCCATTGGCTTTAGAGTTTCTGGGTTTTCTTATGAGTATGCCTTTGCATTTTCCAATGTCATTAAACATTTAAATGAATTCAAAACCAACAAATGGTGCCACTTAAGTGCAGTGAATGAGGTATTTCAAGAAGGGTAATATCTGAATGCTGCTGGAAGCTACAAGCGTTTTATTTAAAGCAAGCTTTTCTGGTGGTGCAGCACTCTGGGCTTTCAAGTTTCTAAAGACACTGAGCACTGCCTGTCATCTGGCAGTAATGGTGATTATAGCACAAGCAGCAGGCATGCTTGTAATTTTGTCTCTCTTAAATGTCTTCTCTTATGCACTTTCTCCCTGTGCTTTCCCTGCAAACTGTTACGTACTATGTTGGTTGCTGTTAAAGAAAGATTTTGCCATTAAAATCTTTAGTTGTTACAAATTACGTCTGTAATCTTCTTGATCTTTATAATTTGTCTGTAGTTTGAAAATAATGCCAGTCCTTAAAAATCATTTTATAGGTTTGTGCTGTGACGTAACTCTGTATGTGACTGTCCTGGGTTGCAGTGTATTCTACTACCATGCTCATGAGCTGTAGAAATCAGTTGGGGCAGTGTTTCCTTGCCTCCCCCCCCTCCAGACTATCTTTCTGTTAACGGCCCATCAATGCCATGCAGCATGACTCATTACCCCATTGTGAGATGCTCCACCCAGAGGGAGAAAACCAGCATTCCATCCTGGATATAACCTGAGATTCTGAATACCAGAGACGCTCTCTTTTCCACTGGATTTCCAGAGGACAGGAACTACTTAGCCACCACTGGACTTTTCTGAGGAAGACCAGACCTTCTTTATACAGGATCACCGCTTCGGGGGGAACGCAGCCACCATTCTACCAGACTGCTACCACCACCCTGATTAACAGGGTGTCAGGTTGTATCCTGACTCAGTTTAACACAGTGTTATCTGCCTTTATAATTTACACCAACTGATTTTTATAGGACATCAATGCTGGTAACTTGGAAAAAATGGTTTTGCTTATATTAGTAGAAGAAAACACAAGGGATGCATTCCAGTGGGTGCTTTCCATAATGCGTCAGCCTAACCTGGGAGAAGATCCCTTCCCATTAAGTATTTTGTTTTCATACAAGCTACAATTTTCACAACAGCTATCAGTATTACAGAACTTTTTTTTTTTTTTTTTAATTAAAAGCTAAATTGGCTTTGGTATGGGTGCTGCATGATGCTTCATAATTTTCTGCTGCACAACAGCCATTAGTAGCTTTGTAGCTTTAATTGGTGACCACTGGTTTATTTTTAACTTGGTATAATTCTCTCTTTCTCTGAAAGAGTACACGCTGTGACTCACTGATTATTCTGTCAGGCTTTCCTCATCAGTCTGAATTGATCAGGGGAATACATAGTAATAGAAATGGTACCACAATCAAATTATGGCGTCAATAACTTTCTAGTAACTCTTGCCAGTAAAAGATTGTATTTTTTTCCTTCTTGTGAGCTACTGGCCTCCTCTCTATAAACTCATGAGGCGTGTGGTTATGGGGGGTGAGGATCTCTAGTCCTTTGAATGCATTGTTCCTTAAGAGCTGCTTCTGAGTCACATTCACTGTTACTGACACAGATAATTTTTCACCTCTGTCAGCAATTGCACTTGTATATAGAACAAGTGACAATCTTGTCTGTCTGAGCATCATCAGTAGAGCCATCTTATTTCCATTTCTGATTATTTGTCTTTAGCATTAATCTGTTGAAGCAGAAAGAATGCTGCCTGGTGTGGCAGCTGACACAGAGGAAAACCTTTTTACTTTCCTTTAAAATCGGGAAAACATGAAAGGTGGTAAGGAAAATGTGACCATGGGTTATTAGGATCTGTCCTAATGCTACTGCTGCGATGACAGTAAACTTCTTGCTGTACTGATTTGCAACATGATTGAATTGGCTGAAGAACATATATTGCACTCAAAAAAATCTTAGTATTTTCCAAGAATAAGGCTTTATAGCTGGGACTCCAAAGTTTAAATTGCAAAATGCGGTTGTAGTGTCTGGGGGGAGCTATCATTCAGTTACTGTACTATTTCCAGAGTAAGGGGCTTCCCTGGCCACTGCTGTATGGGAGAGAATTTCTCCTCTGGGAGTCTCTTTGAAATGCTGTCTGGATTTCTGCCACTTAACCTCATCCAAATGGCAGCTCCAGGAGTTGTCAGACACACCTCAGCATTGCTGTGGAGGACATGTTTTTCTCTAATCAGTAAATCAAGACCATGTATGATCTGATACCACTTGGCAGGCATGTTGGATGGAAGCCTTTCCTCACCCCAGTGTGACAAACTGACCAAAGTTCTAGCTATGGTTGGCTTCCACTGAGGTTGGTGGCAGATGACTTGCAGGAAGTGCTTGGCCTTGTCTCTTATCCACCACATGTGTATTCAACCTTTGCCAACAGTCTAAATTCTTTTAAGGGACTGGCCCAAAATATTGGGTTTAAAGATTCTTCACAGTCCGAAATCTGGACTTAATCCATGAATTAGTTTAAACCTATGCCTATTTAATATAAAAGAAGTTCCCACTGGGATATGCTTTCCTTCCACTAGAGAAAAGCCAGTTTTATACTTCATGTACTGCAAAGGAATGGGCTATGTGAAAGTGGTCAGCTGGAGCAGTTGTGAAGCTGTTGCACTCTTGCATGATCTTAAATTTGCAAAGAAAACTTAAAAAAAAACCCTGTGAATTTTGAGATTTTTGTGTCTCATACTCAGACAGCTGCATGTATTGCAGAACATAAGAATCCTACTGTTACTTAAAACTGATTCCATTTTCTTCTGCTCTGAATATCTTGCAAAGCCAGCAAGTATTTGGACTCATTCTCCTAAACATGGAGAACATGTGAGTGTTAAACCAGCTGTACTCAGTTCTGGCTATCTTAAATTCCAAATTCCAGTTATAATTTGGTCTCCATATAACAATGCTACCAGTTCTAGCAGTATTCTTATTTTATGCATCTAATCTTCAACTATGAGTCATGACTGAAGGATTAGACCAAAATATGTTTTTGTAACATGCAAGAACTTAAAAAACAAAAAATATAATCAGGTATTCCAATGGATATCTGTTAGGGGAAAAATAGAAGTGCTAATAATTCTCCCTCTTTTCTTCTCCAATTGTGAAAAGAGATTACAAGTTTGAGCCTGACCTAAGACCAAAAGAAACCAGGAATCCTTTCCCTGAAAGATCAGGGTGACCTGGATCTGGGATTAGAGCTCAATGCAAACTGAACAACGCTGTGTTTGAGATTAACACTGATATTTGTCCAGCAGGTATCTCAAAGTCAATAAAATTTGGTATTAAACTTGTTTTTGTGTAGAGAAGATATCAGTAAGAAAGTGTTACCGAAAATCCGGAATAAAACTTGAGATGTGTAGGGGAGTGTTCTTGCCAACAACACGTTGGCACCAGGCACCAGAATTATACACCTTATATAGAACTTACTCATACATATTAATTATTCATACATAAACATACCGTTTCTAAGAAATCATTAACATATTCTCCTATTTCCGATTCTGCGCAGTAAAGGTTAGAAATGTCTAGAAATGGGTCCGGGGTGTAATGTGAGTAGGTGGTCCATGAGTTGGTGGTCGCGATCTCCCCCTGCCGGAATTACCTTTTGCTTAAGGACACAGTTTTCTTGGCAGGTACTTGCAAGCTGTTATGGTCACTTCCCTCAGTTCCCATTAATCCTGGACCTTGACAACTACTTGCATTCTCCTAGTCCTATACATGTATTATAAATCCGTTTACAAATCACCTTGTGTTTTGTTACCTAGGTTCTAACCATTCCTACTAGACAATTATGACCAATCCCTTTGGCCTTGGTATGGGGCTGGACAGGGAATTTTAGAGTAGCAGTTGGTTGCTAGATTCAAAATACAATAAATGTAAAATGATTTTTACTAAAATATCTCTTAATTCTATACTTATATTAAAATCAAACACAATTTAATTTCAGTTGATAATAAAATCAGTAACAAAAGGGTGTAATTTTTTTAGGAATAAGACAGTCAAGAATATGTTTGTTTGAAAAACAAAATTTAAAAAATCTTGTAACCTGAAGTATTTTTATTTCTTCTCCTTTGGCTTTCAAGAGATGCCAAATTCTTTGCAAAGTTCGCATGGTACAGTGGATAAGCTTGTATATACCTGCCTGAAATCAAAACAATAGTTCTAGACATTATTTATTTAAACTCACAGGGTTTTTTAGGTTTGGGTTTGACTGGTGCATATTACTTCTACAACAAATTTCTTCAATCTGAAACATGTAATAAAACACAGAACAAGGATTATCTCCCAGCATTCTGAACCTGTGAAATGATCGCATTTGCATTTAGTCTTATTTTCCTTGTTCCCCTGGCATCTATATCCAATTTTTCATTATACAAGAGTCTTACCCAGTAGATTTCTGGCAGGATGTTGACATTTCACAACTCTGCCTGACCGCTATACTGCGACTCCTGCAGTAAGATTCCGACCCTGTAGGATTGCCAGTGGCCGTTGCCCGTTTCCGACTTTTGTGGTGGTGTCTGAACTATGCTCTTTGCTTTGCTTCTGTAGGACTTACCCTACACTTGCCTATTCATTTCACTAGTATTTACTCATCTCACCCCCTGCCTAAAAGCAATGTTTTAAAACTGCACAATATTCCATATTTAAGGTATTTATGCATTTAAATCCAGGCATATGGTTATTGCTCATCACCTTATTTTAGACTATTTTACCCAATGCCCTCTATTTTGGGTCTTTTCATGTTGCAATTTTTTGTCTTCTATTCACAGAAATATAAACAAAATACAGCCTTTGTGGCTTTATTGAAACCTGAAGAAGGTTATGTAGGTTGCCTGCTACACAGAAATGCTCAAAAAATATTAGATGAAACATTATTAAGTAATCTAGTTCAGCTATTTCCATCTAAATTCAAAGTGTCAATCAGTATTTTTTCTCTTTGGGTGGCTGCTGCATAAACTCACATTTGTATAAGGAAATGTAACAGTTCTGGGGAGCCATTTAAATTTGAGTTAGAGGCTTTAAGCAAATAGTATTCCTCAGGGCTTGTTGGGTGCATACATCCAGGGCTTTGTGATTCTCTCTTCTTTTAATATTAGAAACATTTCCTAATGAACCAAGGAACAGAGCATGCTGATTTTATCTTTTTCAGTGCTTCTCTGGAATGTCTTCTTTCCATTGAAGCATAGTCTATGCTTCCTTAGTCTAATATTGCTGGCAATAGTCTTACTCCTAAAATAGGACAGGAATAGGACACAAAGCTACAACATGCCCTTGGTCAATTTGTGTCAGTTTTGAATTGGCTAGTCTTCATGAGCGTGAGCTGAGCCTTTACCTGTATTAGTGTCCTTTTTTCTACTGTAAATGGTAGCCCATCCACATCTTTACTTAATACAGCTTTGCAGTGTTCAGCTACATAGATTGGGATCATGGGAGCTGTCTTCACCTGGTACATATGAATAACATATAGTATCCTTTTTGTTATTATAAGGCTTTATTGCAACAAGACCATAAGTTCTTGAACATGTAGGATCTGTGCTTCCTGCAGGTCTTGTAATCAAAAAGAAAGTCACATGGTTACAGCACTTTAAGAGAAGCAATTGCCTGTCTGATAATAAATTAATCTGTCCTAAAGTTATTAACGTCTGTAAAACATATAAGCAGTACTGATGTGGAAGTGATTGTTTAAGTGTTATTATATTTTATATTGGAAAAATATCAGAAAAACTGCTTTGGTAGGTCAAAGAACAAGATTTCTTTATTTTCCAAACTACAACATTTTTCAGCACCCTTATGCTGTGCTAGTGAATCTGCAAACTACCTAATGTCACAGGTTTTAGTACACAGTACAGGTTTCTTCAGAGGAAACTGCTGTATAAAATTTCTGATTAACTGCCTTCTATAATGTCATCAGCTTACTTTGTACTAAGAGTATTACACAAAATATTAATCTATAAATAGGGTTACATCAGAAACATTTATAAAATGAATACTTTTGCTATGCTGAGATAACTTTACATGCCTAGAGAAAGAGGTGTTTCCCTGCCTGTGCTCTACTTTCCTGTTAATATTTCGAAGTACAAAACCTTGTACTCACATAAACTCTTCTTGGATTGTTTCCCTTGGTTGAAAAGTTTCATTTAGTAGTTGTATTTGTAGGGATAATTTTCCAAATTCCTTGACTTCTTTTGCTTCATTATTTTCTTTTAGTGTAGAGGGTCCTTATCACCCTTTGGTTGTGTCTATGCTGCTCGTGTGAGTGTCTGACTCCTTTCTTATACATACCATAGGCAAACAGTGGCTGTGGTTTCTATCAGAAAAAGTTCAGTTGGACTCTAATGCACCACTGATAGAGGCTGTTTGCTCTGAAATTATCTTGACATCTCCACTGATCAGTTCTAATGAAATGAAGCTGCATTTTACTTTACTGAAATCTTGCATGTATTGTCCAAATTTTGTGATTTATATTTTCCATCCCTTCATCAAAGTTCTTTACATGAAATCTAAAGTCCATGTTGAAATGAGATGAAAGGCAAAAGTACCCTTGCACTAAACCCAAATTTCACCTCCTTACAGAGAGCGTATGAAGTACTTTGAATTGCCATAAGAGTGTCTTTATTTTCTGCTCTGACCTATTAGTGTGACGCTGTTACGTGCTTCTAACTTCTCAACTTCGTATTGCACACCATCTGAGCGATGTCAGAGCAGAACTTGCCTTAAACTTGTATGAGGTCCTTTGTAATTTTTCTCACAGCTGTTGCCCAGCTTATGGCCTCATTTTAAACCGAGACGCAAGCTATCTACATTTCTCTTTGAAAAGAATATCTTTTCAAAGCAGCTGTGCATTCAATATCACTGAAGTTGCTCTGTTTGTGCCAGTGGTGGACTTGTTTGTAGTAATACTGGGACTAAGCACTAGCTCAACTATTTGTTATAAAACAGAAAGGGAGGGGAGGGGGAATGTTTCTAGAGGGCTTTCTGTCCTTTCTGGGGGTAGTTGAGAGTTGTGGTCTCTGGGGATTTGCCAGTGTCTACAAAGCACCAACTGTGTCCAGAGGGAAAGCTTGGTCTTCTCCCTGCCCTATCTGACAGCCCAGCTGTGTGTGGTGTGCAATGTTTCTTTCAATCTGATCTCTCTGTTATGACCCATCTTTCTTTTTCTCTTACAATGCCTCCTAGGGAAAGCATAAACTGTGTAGTATTTGAACTTAAACTGAAGTTCCAGCCTACAATAATATAGCACACTCATTTATTTTATTGCAGCTCACCCTACTGGTGTACAGGCCCAGTGTAGAAGTATGTGCATCCATTTTCCAACAGTACTGATTCTGCTAGGGAGGAAATGTGTGGTGAGCACACCTACAGCACAACCTGTTGTCTGAGCAGGGCAGCGTAAGAGCTAGCCTGTAAGGAACTCACCATGGGACCTAGCCTGTGCTGATGGAAAGGGAGGGACAAATATCACAATGTGATTTATTTTCTATGGGTTGATATTTCATTAAATCTTATTTTGTGTTCTTCATACCTTCACACAGGATTTTAGAGTATTTTTCTCTCTTTCTATAATAGGAATGGGCAGGAGCAAACATCTGTGTAATGTAACCTGGGTTGATTATTCATACAATCACAGTAGTGAGACAACCCAACTTTCTCACATGCCTCCTCAAAAATAGTACTTGTAATGCCTGCACATACAGGCAGTTACATACTAAAAACATCTGAGGGAAGTAACTTTGGCCTGAACTTAACAAAAAAAAAAAAATGGCTATAAAGATCTTACTTGTAAAACTGTTTAATTTTTTTTT